CCTTTACCGTTGCATGAGGGGGTGCGAGGGGCCTGCAGAAAACGCACTAGACATGCGAAGTCCGCGACACCCTTGCACCACAAGCGTCCCGACGAGAGTCCTCCGGTGAGAAAGCGACATGTTTCATGCCACCTCAAAATCGGCACATCTGGTTATGAGCCGTAAAACTGGCAATTCAGCCGCTACCACATCCTGCAATAGCTCGAACCAAGCACTGCCCGGTAGCTGGGGCCGACCCGAAAGACCTGGACACGGTGCTGGAATGTGCAGGAGCCGCATGTAAGTTATGTCAGTGACTTCAGTGAATCGCAAAAGGTCGCAATCAAGTTGGGATCCTAAACGTTTCAGAGACGCACGAAAACATTCCGTCAGCATGCGAAGTGTAACGTGACGAAGACGGTGATTAGCAGTTGTAACTGGCAAGTACCTGCCGGGGGACGCGCTGTCCTCCACGATAGGCACCACCGACATCGTCGTAACAAAGCTCAGCAGAAGCTCAAAATAAGAGATGTGATGATCATGTTGTGGTTCAACCGGTGCTGTTGGCCACCGTAGTTGCTCGATCCATGCAAGAAGTTTGGCCCCATACCGTGGACCAAAAGTCCATCCCACCCAATTTTCTTCCCATATATCCGGTAGGGACGAGGACCCCGGTGAGGGGATTCGCCACTCCCGAATGCGCTCCAAGAAAACTGCCAAGGAAGACCATTGCTGTTCGTCCGATTCCTGTTGCACGCGGGTGCGCACGGCACTCCGAAGCTGAGCGTCAACCGGACCAATGGCCAAAATGGCTTTGCAAAAAGCGTATAGGTAACGGGAATCTGTGGAGCTTACTGCGGCCACGCGTCTGGCTGTATCCTGCACCAGCGAGGGAATGTTGCTGCATGCTGCTTTGGCCGCGGAGTCCGCGGCCTCATTACCGGCTGTCAGCCATTGCTCCCATGCCGTCATGTCGGCCAGCTCGGCCTGCTGTCGATGAGCTTTGACCTTGTAAACGCACAAGTTGGCCCGGGGCACGGCGTGCTGCAGTAGGTCAGCATTGCAACGACGCGAAATAGCATCCCAACCTGCAACGGTCCAGTCAGTCCAAAGATCAATGGCTGACTGGCAATCGCTGTACAGCTCCACCACCTGCTCCGGACATTGAGCGCACCAGTTGTTGGCCCAGGCAATTGCCGCTAGCTCGGCACGGGGCACAGTTTGGGCACCAGCGGGAGAACCCTGTGCGACAATGGCAAATGAAGCGACGAGGCGTGAAGGTTCCAGCTGCCATGGCTGGATTTCCGGGGCGTTGCTGGGGCGTGGGGCCGCAACGACAGCCCAAGCCGTGAGTCGTCCCATGACATTGTTGGTTTGAAGCGCACTGCCATCTGTAAACAGGCACAGACAGTCGACAGGAGCGGGAGGCGGCGGCAAAGCTGGGGGACCCATTTGCCGCAACAACAGCTGCAGTAAGGAGGCCTCATCAGGCCAGGCAACGTAGGCCAGGTGGGTCCAATGGGGCCTGTGCTCTTGCACCCAATCCAATGTATCCTGGTGAGCAGCTCGTTGTTCAAAGAGGGCGGGGCACTTGTAGAGGCGATGGGCCTTGGAATCCACAGCCGAGCAAAGCGGGCAAAACTCAGTATCCTCTCTGGACCATGTGTTGCGTTCGGCTCCCGACATGAAGCCACCGCTGTAGTGCTTGGCAAGGAACTTAAGCTCCCACGGCCTAAACTTGGCAAAAACCTTTTGTGTCTCAGACGGGCAAGGCATCGGTGCAAAGCGCAGGCCATTCCGATGGCATATGTTGTCGTGAACCGTATCGGCCCATGCAGCACAGACGGCGCTGCGGATGCCCTTGATGCTGGTGAGCCGTATGTTGAAGGCTTGGTGCAAGGGCCCACGACACGTACCTGAGATGTGGAAGGTCCAGCCGTTGCGGTGCAAAAGATTCTGCAGGGAGCCCGCAGGGCCACATACAGCCCGGTCTGGAATCGATACTGTGCCTGCGACCTGAGACCAAACTGTTTCGGCCGTCGCCGGATCAATCGCAAAGCACCTGCGCAGCTGACTGAGATGATGACATAGCAGGAAGACCTCTGGATCTTGCACCCCCGGGGAAAAGCAAAGTGCAGCCCAGGCAGACAATGTCTTATGATCCCCCACAACTGCTCGGGCAGCGGAGCTGCGTAGGTTGGAAATTGTGGAACGGGAAGGGAGGCATGCTTCGGTGCCATAGAAAAGGAAGGGCCAAATGCCACTTTGCACGATTTTGGCCCGGACCGGCAGCCCTTGTGGATCAGAGGCAAGGCTCTGAAGACGACCAAGTGCCGCCTGACACTTGCCGCCAAAAGCTCCACTGCAAGTTCTGCGGCCAAACGTGAAAAGGGAGCCCAGCTCCTGAACTTGATCCACCAACGTAAGTTGGACACCCGAGGGGACGAAGGTGGAGCTGTGAGCCCGCCACCAGCTTTTGGAGCTGTTCTGGAGAGCCCAGACGTATGTCTTGGCCCAATCAACTTGTAGAGAGAGGCTTTCGGTCAAGTCCTGCAAAATGAGCAAGGCAGGTCCGTGATTATCAGGGGCGTCAGCCGTCCAGGACCAATTGTCAACGTAGGCACGAGGCTGCACCAGCCCTTGCAGGAGGCTAACAAAACACCAGCAGACGGCGATCATGGCCAACACCGAGGTAGGGTCTCCTTCCGGGGCGCCGGTTGTTGAAGGGAGGTCCGGGCCCAGGCTCTGGTTGATTTGGAAGGTGCGGCAGACCTTGGCCAAAGATTTTTGCCAAAAGTGACAGACATGAGGCGGGACGCCGAGATGCTGTAGGAGCTGGCAAATTGGTGCCCGTGGCAAGTAGTTAAAGGCTTTGCGGAGGTCCAATGACAAACCGGAAAGATCCTCTTGGTACAACAAACAGGCCTCGATTTCGGCTTGGACCGCATAAGCCAAGTCCAAAGCAGAACGGCCACGGAGGCAACCAGAAATTGCCGGGGGCAGCTTAGAGCTCCAAACCGCAAGGACTTGTGTGCACAGGACTCTGGCCCAAAGACGATAAATGCAGCTAAGCACAGTGATGGGGCGGGCCTGGGCGGCGTGAGACGGTGCGGCAACTTTGCTTAAGACCGCCACCCGTGCCTTGAGAAGCGATGCTGGAAAGCCGGAGGGCGACATGTGGTGCAGTATGAAAGCCAAATCGGAAAGGGCTGCACGAGGCAAGATGCGGAGCTCAGCGTTGTGCCAGCCACAGATGCCACGCGCCTTGCGAGGCGAAAGCTTTCTGGCGACATGTTGCCAGGCATCGACCGCCAGCAGATCGACGGGGACCTCAAAACCTGGTTGCCCACATGTTTGGAGCAGCTGCTGGAACTTGGGCCAGGCCGCAATGTCAGCCTCCTGTTGGGAGGAATCCCGATTCCAGATCGGGCTCCAGAACTCCATTAGAGAACCCACCACGCCTTGCCATGAGCTGTCCTGCTGGTAGCGACAGAGGCGGCCTGTTGCAGGCAACACGCAGTCATCAGCGGTATCAAACAACACTGTGACAGCACCGGGAGAAACCTGAGTCACCTGACCCGGGACCTGGGCGTAAAACACCTGGCTGTGGAGCTCGAGCCAGCGCTCGTGGCGGGCGGCAAAAGTACAGAGGTGATAGTTGTGCCGGTCTTTCAGGGTCACTTGTTGCTCAGAGCTGTGGCGGACACATGTGAAGGGAGGATTCTGGGCAGGTTTGACGCGAACAAAGCTGCGCGCGGCCCCAAAGTCTTTAGCATCCACGTGAAGCCGGAACTTGAACAGCTTGGCTTTCACAGCCACGTTTTGCCGCTGAAGGGCCTCAACATCAAACCTGACGAAGGACGTGAGGTCCCTAACATAGTCAAGGTTGGGCCTCTCTGTGGGAAAGAAGACAAAGCAAGGCCATTGGAGGACCCAGTCACTAAAGGAAATGCCATAGCCGGCGGCCCGACATATGGCGCGCCATTCAAGGTGAAGAGAACAGGGCCAGCCATCGGGGGCCAAGGGACCACGAAAGCGATCGGCCTGAAACTTGGTCAAGCCCTGCAGGAAAGTATGCAAGCGACGCCACTGACGAAGTCTCTGTCGACCCAGAACAGATGTATCCTCATCAAAAGCCTCAGGATCGCCTTGTCGCCCGGGGCGAGGAAGGTGCGGTGGAGCCGCCTGTTGACGCACAGTTTCACGGCAACGGCCACGATGTCGCTTGGGCAGTGCTTTGAGTCTGTTGCGAGCGGGGTCAGTAAGATGAGCGTTGTGGAGCACATCAGAGACAGCAGCCTCAACCGTTGCGGACCAGAGGCGGAGTTTATCGCCCTCGCAAGTTTCGGGCACCTCTGGCCCAAATGCTAGCCTGACCTGTTGGGACGACGCCTGATAAGCCGGCGAGAGGGCCTGCGGCTTGTCAACCAAATCAGCAAAGGACTGCGGGAGGCGCCAAATCCAGCGGGGGACCCCACGAGAGGGTAGTTGAAGACGGAGCCGCATTGGCGCATGGCTATCAAACAAGTGGCTGTCTGTGAGGACATCAGCCGATTGAAAGTACTGGTACAGACACGGAGGCAGGAGGAAAGTGTCAAATCTCGTGGCTCCTTTACATGTGCACGGCAGGTGCACGTCATGACACTGGGCTGCAAAAGCACCAAGCTCAATCCACCCCAGGTCAGCAAAGGCCTGCCAGGAAGGCAACTCTGTAGGGCTGGTATTGAAATCCCCAGCCACCAACGCGGGAACACAGGAAACGGTGGCCCTCTGAAAGGCCCAGGCCAAGAGCAAGTTGTTTTTCTCCGCGGCAGAAGGAAGGCAGCGCGGGACCCCGTAAACAGAAATTATCTTGACCTCGAAGCCGTGAAGACGGACAAAGCATTCAGCAATTCTACAACTGCTCAGCATTTCAGCCGGCAAGTCTTGCAGGGGAGGGCGGCACGGCAACTTGGAGAAGGTGGCAACCCCCAGTGCATAACTGCGAAGCATGGCCCGCCCGGAGCCAGTGTGGAACCTGGTTTCAGTGGGAGAACCCCACATGCAACGGTAACCTAAACCCCGAAGTTTATAAGTCATGATTTTTTGGACCCGGGCATTTGCCGAGGTCTCGCTTGCAATGAGCACATCGGCTCCAACCTCATTAACATTCCACTCTTTGTCGAGAATGGTGGTAGGATTGATCACAGCAAGGGTAACGGAAAGAGCGTCTGCTGGCAGTGGAGGTCCTGGGTGAAGGGCCTCCCCGAAACGAAAACCAACGGTCCAATGAAGAAAAGGACCCCGACCAAGATCAATCACACGGTTCCCCAAAAGCATCCACCGGATGCAACCCCGAAGTACTCGCTTTCGTCGTGCTCCAGTGACTCGGAGTCACTCATTATCCAGCTCCATCTTGCCGTGGCCGTCATCAGCTGGCCGTTTGGCTGCCGGAGGAGCACGCGGGCGAGGGGAGGAGGCCAAAAGGGCCTTGATCTCATCGAGACCTTGCTGAAACTGCTGTTGGTGAGCAACCTGTGCAACACGCTGGGACTCAGCATTGGCCTGGAGCTGGGCGCGGAACTCGACTGCGAAAGTGCTGAGGTCGCCTTTGACCATGTCCACCTGTTGCTCTACTGCCGCCTGGGTATGGGCAAGCTGCTGTGTCACCGCCTGATGGCCGCGGCGAACCTCTGCAAGGCCGGCCTCCAACTGTTGCAACCTAGTCTCCTGCTGATCAAAGCGCTGCTGATTGGGAGGAACCGGGGCACGCGGGGCCGGGGGTTGTGCTGCAGCAATGTTGCGCGACCCTGCCTGCT